GAAAGTACCTGTTCATTATCAACAGAGGCGGCGAGCGGTAAGCCTGAGGATAAAAGTGAATTTTAGAATAAAAAAAGAAGACGGATCAAAGAGAGTATAAGGAAAGATTCATCGTACCATCGGATATCCGTGCAATTATTGTAGACTTTACCATGACTGAAAATATAATTCTTAGAAGGAAGTCGTGTGTTTTGATGAGAAAGTTAAACTAAAGGAAGGAAAGTATTAATGATCATCAAACCTGTCACGATGCTATTGGCCGACTATGCTTATTAAAGTTCGTTACTCGATAAACCGTGAGACTGTACGATCACGGGGTTCTTCGAATATCTTTTCCCCCGATTCGATCACAATTAACCATTAACCATTTTTGGTGCCCCCTTGAAAAGGTTGTTAGAACATGACGTTTCTATAATTATCCTTCAACAAGCCTACTATAACCCCTAGAATCCCCGGTTCTAAGCCACATTTAGTCATGTGGTTTTTATGAATTAAAAGAACTTTTTTCATACAAGATGGCTTTGATACATTCAAAATTTGACTTCGTGAATAAACCTTGGTGGAGACCAGATTATGATAACCGCGCTCCTCAGTATTTCATCTCAAGTACCAAGCGCTTCCAACAAGCCATATTATTATCCGTTAATAACGAGGATGAACTCCTTTGGAAGGGTTTCATGGACCTTCATCGCGAACGTTATTTAATCGAATGCATTTCAGCGGAAGGCAATGTAGACCTTGATGTTATAAAACAGCTGTTAAAGAAATCACGCTTTGAAGTTTTTCTGAACTACGCTTGCAGAATATTTTTTCCAAGAATAATTTTTGGCTCTTCTCGTTCTTCGCACCTAGCTAAAAAAGTCCAAAATCTTCACGATACCATTAACGGCATTTTCCCGACCATTTTCTTTCCTAACCTTCCAATGGATCGCTTTACGCCTTTGCTCGCACAGCAGTTGCATCAACAGATCGGTAACGGGTTGATTGACAATGCGGGTCAGTACAGAACGCGATACGTTATGGCGGCGCAGGAAAACTACGTTTATTTGGCACCAAATTTGATAGAGAACAGAATAGAAGAGCTATTCCGTCAATGTCGAGAAAAATTTGGGAAAGAGGAATTGGAGTTAGATGAAGCTATCAAATTTGGGGCGTGTTTTCTCACACATTTCTTGTACATCCATCCCTTTATGAATGGAAATGGGAGGGTAGCTAGGGTACTATTGAGCTATTTACTATCAAAATTCACTGTAGTGCCACTTTCTTTGTACACGGGAACGAGAACACGGGATTTATACCTACAGTGTCTGCGTGAATCGAGGTATCATGAACCATTCTTGCCCAACGCACTCGCTACCTTTATACTTGAGAATGTATACATGACATCTTATAACATATGTACAGTGATGGACATAGATATTTCAGAATAATAATGTATAATTTTAGCACACATCTGCAAAAAGCTTAAAATTATATTATAATTTCATTTATGTTGCTTTAGGAATGAATATTCGCTCAAGATCTAGTTGTATTGGAGAAATTAGGAATTTTAAAACTCGAGGATAATTCTCAGCTTTTAAAAAATACTATTATATATTGTTTTTAAGTATTATTATTTGCTTCACAGAATAAAGTATTCGCAATTCCATTTCAGTGTGTACGTAAAAATATCATGCGAAAAATAAATACAAAATTCAGGACGTAGTCCGTGATACATATTATTTTTTGATTCTAGCCCTCTTACTAGATGGAGAACTATCAACGCTAACACGATCCTTCAGTAACCCAACAATAATACCAACTACCCTTTTCACATTATTACGAAGTAATTCTGGATTTTCTTTTATCGCAGACTTCGTAAGATTAATCTGCTCTAAAATGCTTTCTTATATATCATAAAATTAATGATATGCTAGATCATTGGCTATCGCTATAGCTTTTTTACTTACATACAAAAAAATTTACACTTACTTTAGCGTAGGTGTAAATTTTTTTGATTATGCTAGTCTTCGAACACTTTGGTTCTTGCTAATCTTGCGTCATCACAAGCCCAATCAGAATGATATAATTTTTTTGATATCCTGACTGAGTTTAAAATCGGGCTATAAAGGCTATAAGAAACATTTCATTTCTTGGTATCTGAAAGGGGGGGGGGGGGGGGGTTAAGCCCAATTTTGATACTAGAAATTTTAGAAATTTTCGTATAGCTAGATTTGCATCCAGCCTGATTTTAAGTCTGAATTTGTCCCATTACTTTTGCTATGATCTAATTGCTAATTTAATTATGATATTTATGCTATCATAGTTTTATTATTTCATAATATTCTTAATTATTATTTAATAAAGTATAATTAAATAATTATCCAATAAAAATGTAAATATAAAATAATTAATAAGTTAATAAATATAAAAAAAGTTTATATTATAATAATATAAGATATTATATAACAAAAAATTAATGTCTATTAAAATATTTGATATTTAAAATTAATTATTTTTTTAAAAATTAAAATATTTTAGTTTTTTAATATTTTTAATTTTTAATAAGAATTATACATAAGTAAACTTATAATACTTGTCTAAAGTTACAAATTTCATTAAGATAATTTATAATAAAATATTATTGTTTATGAAAAAATATTATATTTATAGTAATAAATTATAATTATTTATATAATAATGTTTTAGTTCTATTTATTTAAAGTTAAAATTTTAAATAATAAATATATTTTATATATACAAATAAAATTATAATTTTTATTTAGAGTTATAATTTTTATTAAATATATATAATAAAATATTATTATTTCTAAAAATATATATTATACTTATAATAATATATTATAATTTTTTAATAAAAATATTTTAGTTTTGTTTAATTAAAATTAAAATTCTACATAGTTAATAAATTTTAAATTTTATTATTATTATTATTATTATTATTATTATAAAGCTACAGTGTAGTCTTATCTCTCGTCTATGTTAATTCTATACTATATTAGTTTACATAATAAAATAGATGATAGATCAGAGATCACCCATATTACATTTAAAATATAAGATGTGACTAGCCATCTTGAACCTGTCTAAGACTAGGGCTCCTATGTTCAGTTTGGTTCAGGTTCGGATTCGGTCGAACCTGAACTCGAACCTGAACTCGAACTAGGAATTTTGAATTTTTCGAACTCGAACTGAATTCGAACTTATAATATTTGAACTCGAACTGGACCTGAACTTATATACTAGTCCAGTTCGAGGTTCAGTTTGAAGTTTATGAACATGTTTGGGTTCGAGTATTTTTCGTACTTGAACCAGACCCGAACTTACCAGTTCGAAGTTCATGAACATGTTCAGATTCGATTGCAAATCATTCAATTTTTTTGCGATCTGTTTGGTTATTATAACTAGTTAGATCAAAGAAATTTTCAGTATTAAAGGTAAGTTTGTGCAATGATATATTACTAAAATAACTTCATTATCTATATCTGATGTTACAGAAGAGTCAGTAGTATCCAAAGTGCTCAAAGAGATTACACCATCAGACCGAAAAGACAAAGGTAAGTGCAGTTATAAAAGTGAAGTATGGAACTATTTTCACAAAGTTAAATGGTCAAGCGAATGGCAAACAGCTGAGTGTACAGTCTCAAACTGCAAAAAAGTTTTTTCTTATAGGAATAGGGGAATGACCAAGCCACTATAGTACCACTTAGAAAGTACTCATCACACATGATATGTTCTGACTGATGAATATCGGAGAAAAAGGCAGAAAATGCAAGAAAAATACAGTACTATCGAGAAAATATTCAAAATGGTAACTTTTTATTTTTTTTTCTTTAATTTTTTGAATTATTCTAATTTGAAAGACTTGTACCAGTCTATGACTTTCCCTATATCGATGATTGATATCGATAACAAAAAACTACGTGATATGATAGCCATCTGGCTCATCAACCACTAACGTCTACTTGTTACAGTAGAAGATCCTGAATTAGTTAAAATTTTTTAATATTTAAATCCTATTGTACAACTAGTTAAGGCTGATGCAATCAAAAATACTATCATGGAACTTTATAATTTGGGTAAACAAGAACTAAAGGTAAGTCTCATGATTATTATCTTTTCTATTATTTTATTTCTTCGCTCACAATGGTCTAGGCATATCTCTCTAGGATTAATTCTAAAATCTCCTTTACATTAGACCTCTGGACATCCCCCAATAATAAAGCCTTCATCTTTGCTACAGCTCATTACATCGATGATAATTGAAACCTTCAAGAAATAATCATTGATTTTGGTTTGATAAGTGGAAGACATGATGACGCAAACATTGCAAGTGGGTTTTTCAATATACTCACAGATTATAAAATTATCTCGAAGGTATTTTTATTCATCTTTTTTCCTAAACATGCCATTTGTTCTTTTTTTTTTGTTATCTTTGAAGGCTCAGAATTTGGATTTTTGTCAGAAAAACTTAAGAGTTTTTCTTGTTATCCTGATTCATCATCA